AATTAATAATCCTTCTTTTCACTTTATTTTTCAAGTAAACGTTTTTTCCTCTGATTGTGTCAGACACTTATGTTGTTGGCCGCTTTTTCTGGTGTGTTTTCTGACAATATAAATCATGTTTAATCAATTTAAACATTTATACCCGACTTTAATTACTTCTGTCAGATTAACATTGATATAAAAAGAAAGATATTTGTGAGACAGGTAAATTCCATTATCAGTTACACTCGGCAAAAACACGCGCCATTTCTTGTTCTTATTTAGATATATTCCATCTATCTTAAACAATTATCACAAATCTATTCTGATAACAAGTGAACTAAAATGTCTATGTTTCGTTTGAAAAAAAGATAAAAGTAATCAAATGAATTTCGGATGTTGTGTTGATTTCAACAGAATTACTATAAGACGAAAAATGATCAAATTTAGATTCAAACCTATAACATTCAGTTTGAAACTAAAAGTCTTATCACCTAATTACTCATATCATATCATATATCATTGTTATGTGATACTACTACTGTTATTATTACTATTACTATTATTATTATTTTTATTATTATTATTATTATGTTTTTCGAAACTTATCTACTAATACCAGTCACCCATTGTACGACTGTACAAATTGAAATTATGAAAATTAGTATAAACATCTTTATATCAAAATCATGATTTTTTAAAGAAAGAACACAAGAAATTATAGAAATAGTTCATCCACTAAAGTTGCATATAATTACAAAAATATATTAAATGTGTTGAGGGTTAGAACTAGCAACTATGCGATTGCTATGCTATCATACTTACCACTAGGCCGTCGGCACATTAGTATCAAATTAAGTAGTGAGAACTTTCTTATCATTTAAAGTCAGTAAGTACATCTTAATAAATTACGGAAACTAACGAAAAATCTCCGAGGAAAATCATAGATTAATCTTTTTCAAACGAATTAGCACCAAACAAAAATGGAGTAATAATAAATTTAATTGTAAAATATAACTGAATGTAAACTGAACAAAGTGACATTATTTAAATGATTGAAAACGTATATGCATAGCAGACGGCATCGGTATTTCCGTAGACTGAAGTATTACTTTTAGTTATCAGTTTGATACCGAGAGCAAAATTAGCTGAAATAAATCGAGATATAGTCTTCCATCTTCCAGATGTTTGAATAAACGATAACCCTTCTACAATAAAGACTGTCAATACAAGCATAATCCGAAAATTAACAAAGCTATATATCTTATTGATAACATGAAGGTACATTCTAAAACGCGTACTCATTAATAATACGATTCTACAGAGAAATGATCCTGACTTGTCGAAATTTGTTTTACATGCACAAACATGTAAATCTATGATCATTTTAAAATCGAAAGTCTTGAGGTTGATTGAAAAGTAATGAGTATACTTCCTGAGAGCTTAACTACAAAACATGAAGATTTTAATTAAAGATAAAACAGCGAAGTACAGTTGTAGAACAATTAATTGATTGTTTTAAGTTGTATTCCCAACACCCAAGCAATTTAAATAGAGACTTAGTCTTTAATGAATTGATGATTGGTAACCGTTATAAGTTCGTTTGAAAAAATAACACAATTATTTTTGTAAAAAAGCATCAAGTAGTCAAATCTGATAAAAAACATTACTTTTGATTCCTAATGACCCAAATAGTTATTTCACTATTTTATTGAAGATATGAAGGCTTAATTAATTGTCTTTTTGTATAGGTCAAATTGAATTAAAGCAAATTGATTGGTTTGTTCTCAATAACTCATGACCTTTGATTCCATGTAATTGACCAAAGGAAAACGTGTGAAGTCACATATTGTCACAATTAAGTTTATAGCGACTAAACTAACAATTCATTTTATCACCAAAATAAGTAAAGTATGGTACAATGTATCATGTTTCGGCATGTTATCTTGTTAGTTAAATTTTGAAAGGAATTCGATTTTAAAAACATTGTTCTTGGACATTCTTTCTACTGGTTTTATGTTCACTTATAATCGTAGTCTACAGCTGTAATTTAGAGTATCACTAAATGATAAATAAGGCTGTTGACGTAAAATGATTGACATTTTTAACTTCAAAAAATAATGTTATTTAATAAATATTCAAAACGACAATGTACTCAGTTTAATTGTTCTCATGTGTTTCATTGAACAAATGCAAATACTATTAAATTGAAACTGATATAATAGAAATACAAATCCAACATGAAAAAAACTATTAAAAGTATTTATGATTAATTATAATATCCCAGAAAAAGGGATTTTTAATCGTCCCGCAAAATATTGAATATCTGTTTAGCAATTTTATTTTCTGTTTTCATAAATCAATTTACAATGAATATTCGAAGCCATTAAAATGTACAATTATCAAATAGTATCAAAATCAAAGGAAATAGAAATACTAAACGATTTATATAAAACAATGATTATATATGAAAAATGAGAATTGTCTTTCGCAAGTGTTGTTATATATAATTATCACTATTTTGGTAAAAACAATACAACATAAAATACAAAATATTATATATATATGTCGAGCAATTTTACAATATTTATATATGAAAAATGAAAACTGTCTTTCGCATGTGATGTTATATATAATTATCACTTACTTGGTAAGAAACGTTACAACATCAGCAGGCCTTTGTCGAATGAACTTCTCAAATTTAGCAATTTTATAGTCATTTAGGGAAATAAAATTCATTATAATTATAAAAGGACAATATACGGTTCTTATGTTTAGAATAGAATAAATAAGTTTATCAGACGTTAAAAATATCAAATTCGTTATAATGCATTTAATAGGCAGCCATAAAAAAATGTAAAATCTAAATTTTTACAAAACAGCATTTAAAAACAGTTCTTATATGTGGCATAATCAATCAATATCGAACTTTTTGTCAATACTTGCATTATGAAGAAGACAATAAACTATGTATTGATCTGGCCAATACGTCTTCTAGTGATTTAAAGTTTTTTTATTGATTGGAGGCCTACAGTTAAGGTGTATCGCCTATTGCATCAGAAACATTACATTTAGAATTGTTTTGTATTGATTAAGTGCCTAGGTACTAGGTTCCCTTGATCAATCATATGATACAATACATGACAAAATGTATAAAAACAGGTCTTACGCCTAATGTATCTGTGACATTTCCTTTTCTAACTGCTGAGACTTGTGTGTTAAAATACATATCAACACATTTGATTCATTTCCTTCTATAGCTACTTGTTGATGTAAATCAACATATTGTTACCTTGTCATCACGGAAAATTCAAATACATTCTGAGATAGGAAATTAAAACTTTCTTCATTTTCAAAAGCAATATTATTTTGCTTTATAAAAGCATTAAAATAAATACTTAAGCAAATTTGCTTTCAATTTATAAACGCAATTGTGGGGTTTTGTCTGCTTTCAAAACATTCTTTTCTCAGAAACATGTCTAGATTGGCATTGTTATTACTCGTTCTCTTTATACTTATTTAAAAAAGAATATTGTCTACAAAGTACAACTGGCACATAAGTAAGAAAAATAACTTTTTTTCTATGACATTATATTTATTATCAATATAACAGGTAAATCTCATTTTATTCATACTGTGATAAAGTCACTTTTGTTTACAAAATAAAAGACATAATAATTCGCTCTAATCTCATTACAAAGACAAGACACATCTGTGAAACAATATGATAATAGCGTCATTTTCTCGAACATCACTTCCTGTAAAGGGAAGTAATTAGACCCTTAACGACATTTTATAAGGCGATGGCCGACAGATATTTCCGTAAGATAAAAAGCGAGTACAATAATGTGTTTTCACAACAGTAACAAAAAGTGATTGCAAGTTTTACAGCTAATCTTCGTATATCAGCATCCATTTTTGTATCCAATTCAAAAGTTCAAATTATACATTAGTTTAATGTTAATATACACTAATATTGTAAAAAGCGTATAAAATGTCTCCTTAATGAACTGACTAGTCTAAAACATTGTTGCAATTTCGTGTATCAATTGTAGATATGGAATGTTAACATGTCATGACATGAAGTTTTCTTTCATGCACAAACATCCAGGTTGATTTACATTTAGGACGCATTTGAACCGAGACGCTTTTAAACGTACACTTAAAATTTAATAACTTGTGATATATATCCACAGCATGCCTGAAAGTGTGAGCAATCCATCCAAAAACGTTTCATACTCTTTCGCAGTTAAAAGATTTTTTTATATTACATCACGTGACTTATTTACTGTTAAGCCTTATGTGACGCCAGAGAATTCCATCGGTAAAGTTACGTTGCAACATCACTTTCTGGAACAGTGACATAACCAAACAGCCATTTATGCGCATACCGTCTGTCTCTTATTAGTTACTGTGTTGAGATATATATTTGTGCGGTATAATAAAAAATAAAAGGCTTCCTACTGCGGATGATAGATATTCGCTTTTCAGTGGAATACGTTTCAAATGAGCTTGCTATGAAATAATAGTGTATTATGTCGAGAAGGACATTACTAGTATTAGTTTGTACTCCATTGCTAAAGTTACATAACGTTTCGTTGAACTATAACCAAAGTGTGATTACGTTAAGTGTTTCTATGAACTTGAACAGGAACAAATCATAGGAAAATCTCAATAGTCACGTTGTTCTTTTCGCTACAAACTCATTTACAGTTTACAGAATATATTAACGTACCTATAAAAATGCTCTGTGTTGAATTGAATAAAATATTATCATTATATACGAATATGAGTGTTTTTACTTCTATTTGCAATAATATTACATTTAAATTTATTTGGTTCTGTAACATTTACATGTACTTAAGACGTACTATACAAGCATGCCATTGATATTACGTTCTGAATGATTATGCAGGTCATTTTATTTATGTTAACTTACAATTGTCTTAAAAAACTTTATTCTGAGATCAAATAGGGTAAATCATCTTTTCACAATACACAAATGTCGTATTTATTTTCAGAAATAAGAAAATAAAATATCTTAACATATCCGATGGTCAGAGTAATGACGAATTGTACGACGCAGCTTTTATTTTCACTTTCCTTGGTGTATATGGTGTCATCAATATCATCGCCTTCATCATCGGTAAAATCAGAGAAATCAAGAAATAAGGTAACTATTGTAATTTGTTGCTTTGATCTTAATCAAACAAGGTAAACCAAGTGATGCCGGTTGCCTTTTTCGTCCTGAGATATAAAGTACTTTGTTAATGATATCAATTTGAAAACAAAGGTACTGTTTGGCACGACGTAAAACCTACCCAAAAACTCATTAAATACAGTTTATTATGTGAAAACATTATATTATCGTTGTTAATGTAACGTTTTATGTTATGATAAAAATTACACTTACCAAAAATATATTTGAAATCCTTTATTGTTGCGGGTAAAGAATTTTTACATAAAACGAAACATTATTTAAAAATCTACTTTTGTTATTATAATCACAGTCCAACTTGTGTGTAAACTTTTTTCAGAGATCATTACTTTTGGATAACCGTAAGTATTGCAAGTCTGATATGTTTTTTACTCAAACATTACGACTATGGTTAAGCAATAACATACTAGTAATGTTTAAATAAGTTGCTTCAAATGTCATTACAATATGTAGGAGATGTAAAGTATTCTTATTTTAATCATTTCAATAGCATACATTATGAACTAATAAAAAATAACTTCTGACAAGTCTAGTCAAATTTATTAAAGTTCGCATTAATGCCTTAGGCATGCTCTGTTTTTGTAATACATGTTTTTAAAGGATTCACACACATATTTTCATTTATTTTAACAGTATTACGCCACAGAGTTCGTTGGATGAAGCCTTATAAAGGTAATCTTATAAAACAAATTTAAAACTGTGAAGTGTTTTTCTATTACGATAGATGACTAGTTGATGAACACAATGAAAAACTATGTTAAACATGTTGCTATTTATTCTGCTCTTTCAAACAACGGATAACAGTTAGGTAATACGCATATGATATGTCTTTTTCTACAATATATTACTTATTATCGAGTTAAAAGTACCTTTTACTTGTTCCTGTTTTAAAGACGAGTGTAGTCATGATATATCTGTTGTGTTTTAATGTAAATAAAATATCAAAACATTATGTCTTTCCAGACACTAGTAAACGAAATGCGTTTGACGAGCTTGACTTTGATCAACTACTAAACGATCCAATATTTCAAGATATGGGCACTGGCGATTATGACTTTAATGAGATGGACATGAATACATTTCCCGATTATAGTGACGACGCTCCCTACGAGAAAGACGACTTTTCTAACATTCCTGAGCTCAACGACTTACCTCCTATTGAGAAAGACGAGATGTCGAACGTTATTCCTGGTGCAAAGGGACCTTTTGACTTTCCAACAAAGCAAAACAGCCTTGACTATCACAACCACGATATATTCGGCAACTCTGAAAAGCTTCCAGCTTTTACAGAGAGCGTGCATATGTACAATGTAGCGGAAACCCTTATGGATGAATTTATGCAATTTATAGACATGAAGAGTAAATACCTTTTATGATTTATCTATTTTGTATTACATAAACAAGTAATGTACTTGGAACTGCGTTTTATTTATCAAATTTTTAAGTTTATTAGTTTTGAAAGACACATTATTGATTGTAAAGACTCATAATTTAATAACAGCACTTTTTAAATGTGTCAAGATGTAAACAAATATACAGACAGACAGTCAAGAAAGGTATGTAAATAAACAATAAATGCTCATTTCTTAAAAGGAGATTCAAACATAAATTGTACTTTTATTTTTCAGACATGGGTTTGCTGGACAAGTGCTTGAAGAACAAATCCAAAAGATGAAAAACATTTTACTTATGTGAAATCATAACAAAATGGCACTTAAAGCCTTTGGTGACGACATTAATGACGATATTTATGAAACACAATTAATTTTTCTATACATCATATATTGTTTTCGTTTTGTATAAGTTCATTCCATGCTAAATAAAGTATAATTTTACAGAATCTTTTGCGTTATGTAAGTTTAACTAATTTCAATCAATTCGAAGCTTTACGGATTGTTTATTGGGGTGAAACTTGCAGCGAAATCATCCGATTGAGTGAACTGATTTTTGAATGACTGATTGGAAGAAATCACGCATCAATTATTTTTTAATGTTATATTCGCCATAAAACAGGGCAAATTACAAATGTACATGCCATAGTCAATGTTAATAACTTCATTTTCAAACGTAAACATAAACTACAGTGTTTCCTTACAATATTGAACAATTAATCTTGTAATGGGTCTTGTTTTACTCGTTTCCTGCCATCAGAAAAAAACTACTTCAGATAATGATCCTAAGGTCATGTAGATGTAGCTGTTGTGCAATATTTGTGTTTAATAAACCATCATAAATACATGTTACAGATACATGTCATTTTCAATTTGTAAGTCACTGCCGAGTAAAATAACGAGGAAATCGTGCAAAGTAACACAAAATTGTGCAATCTGTGACCCTTACGAGCACCACGAGACGTAAATGAACAAATATTCTAGAATTATTGCACACTTGTACAACTGTAAACTAAAAAAAAACCCATATTATCGGGGGATGTAATGCTGTTTAAGATATATAATGTCATTGCAGCCGTTTGCGATAATTTGTTTCTTTTTATTTGATAAGGAAAACAATACTTTGCTCTGTTTACTTATTGTGTTACTCATTTTGTCCATTACGTTGCACAAATTTGGCGTAACGTTTATGTTATTTGCACTTTCCAGTGTAACTGGATATACAAGGTATTTGAAATTCTGTGGAGACAAATTGACGAACGTTATAATCTTTATCATTCAAAAGTAAATCATTATAATTATGAATAAAAAATTACTAATTCTAATTTAGCGTTTTATTGAGCGCAAACGATGTTTACTTAACTCTTAACAGTATTGTTGAAAAATCTCATCAAATATTGTTCATAAATTAGGATTTTAAACGGGAAACCCCACGGTACCACTACAGTTCGTATTCGAATTTTAACACACAAATGAAGATTATAATCAGCTCGTGTATGTATAGTTGCTATCCGAAACACAGCAAATATGATATTTTCTTGTACAAACACACTTTAACCGTTTTAGCTTCACGGTGCACTAAGCCTGGGGTTCAGAAAAAAGTAATAATCTCATTAAAAAAATTAAACTTGTATGAAAACATCCGTTACAATGCGGGAATATACCGTTTAATTAGGACTGCAACTTATAGTCATGTTTGTTGATTTAATATTGATGTACGGATGATCCGAGGGCGGAGTTTCTCATGCAAACAGAAATAGTACTGAAGAGTTCGCCACAATGAGGCTGCCCATTTTTATGCTAATAAAACTCATTTTGGTTGACTGGGCACCAAAATAAGATCCATAGTCGATATGAAACCCAATTTATTAATGAAATGTTGCTATTTCTAGTTTTATAAAAAAAATTAAATGCCGCTTTAATGTGCACTTCTTGATTTCTATACAAGCTTCGATTATATGGAGTAAATGAAACAATTGTCAGTAAGGTAATCAAATTGACAATAATTTAAGTTACTTAGCAGCCCTTTTACATGTGTATTAAATAAGATTAGTTCGTTTCCACAAATTTATGACAGCTCTGACCTAAATTTGTTTAACATATAAACCAAATCAAAGTCAAAGAAATACTTTGTTAACAACATTTACTGCAAAACACGGAAAAATATCATCGGAAAAAATACTGCAAATCAAACGTTAGCAAATTACGAAGTAATACAAAACATTTCTGAATTCAGATTTTAGAGTCAGATATTATCATTGATTAGTAAAGCAAATCTGAAAACTGATTAAAAAGAGCATATAATTTTTGTTACAATGTGATATAATGATATTAAAACTTTATAAAATATTAAACTCAAACAAATTTCATCTCAGGTCATCATTATCATGAAATGCCAAAAATACATTAGCATAACACTGCTAAAATATTCACATAATCATTGTAAAGATAATTAAATAGCGAACATCTTAATTACTACTTTGAAACAACCCAATTTAATGCATTGAAAAGTTTCTTTGTAAAAAAGATTACAGTCTTTTATTCCCTCTGAAAGATTATTGTGTGGGATTAATTATGTATCGTACAACACATTAAATAGAAAAAATAATTATATTGCTGATCTACAAAGCAACCGAAAGTAAACGTTTCAGATTTTTGTCATAATTCAAAATAATAGAACATTTGATGAGTTCTTTTCCTGAATTATCTGACAGTTTAATTTGTAAAATATTTAATTGAAAATTAGAAACAAATTAGCATTCAGTTTACATGAAATAAACTCTTGTTAGTAAAAGTTATTATTATTAGAAAACAATTAATGTTTGTGGTCTGATGGGTCAAATGACCCATGTTTGCATCGTAGAGGAGCGTGTGATCTGTAAACCGTACTTAATTGGTTAATCAAAGTTGTATAGTTTCTTTTGATAAATTGATTCTAAACTCTATAATTCATATATGGTAGTTTCAAATGGGTATATGAAAGGACATTAATGTGTAATAAAGAAATAATTAAATGAAAATGTGACAATATAGCATGTATCATCAAGACGCCTGGACGATACAGACTACCTTCCCCTATTGACAATATTCTTATTTTGATTAAGAGATAAACTTCATGACTGCTGAAGGGGATAGATTACATCTTCATACACTTAAATTATAGATATGGTATTTGAATTGATTAAGCCCTTCCCTTAGAAAACCTTTTTAACGTGTTATATCGTCTACAGATGAGCGTCAATATCCGTTATGTGGTCATGTGATATATTTTTAGAACTAATCGCTTACTTTATAACATCAGCAGACTTTCCATTTTAAAATAAATTTCAAAAAATAAACAAGCTGTTTCTGAAATCAGGGTTTCAACATGTATTTTCATGTAATGAAAAGCAATTATCTTTGTATTTGGTTGAATAGATCAAATTTCCAAATCTACAATCTATAAAGCTTTGCATTATCTAATTAGTAAGATGAGGAAAGGTATATTATATGACATGGTTTATGTTAGATAATTGCTGTGTTAAGTGAAAAAGGATAATGAATATCAGGACAACAACAAATAGAAACTTCAAAATAGTTTGATTAAATGGCACTATACAAATGCAGTGTAAATATTATCTAGGTATACTTTGCTGGAAAAATGTTACTGATATTCACAATTCAGCCATGTTTTTATATCTGAATGTCGTATCTATCTTTATAGAGAAATAAATAAACCATTATAGTTTTATTTCCTTCCTCTGGCAATCTAAATGGTAACATTAAACCACGCTAAATATATAATAGGTCTTATCGTATTTGTTCTAGGTGTATAAGGGTCTTGAAATATTTAAGAATAATTAATCGTTCAATCATTAACAGGATAAAAATACACTTGTTAACAAAATTAACCAATTTCATGAATTTGAGTACATATCAATTGTTTATAATACATAGATAAAAGTATAAAACAATTCAACATTTAATTTAGATCTTATTTAATATCTCACAAGAGGAGATTAAATAATCATCGTTTGTAGTATATTCCATAAAAATGACAAATACTTCATTGAACGCCGCATTGCCTTGTTGATCTTGATTATCACATTTTTGGTAAATGTAAGCTACATTTCACACCCTTTGCACCGAGGTATGCTGAATTCAACATTTAGACATGATATCATGGTGAAATTTCGAATTTTGAAACATCAGTTAACTGTAACACCAAGGAAAAGGGGCGTTTGGTTCGAAGTTAAAAAAAAAACAATTGATACATGTTTATCGAGAAAACTCTAAAAACTCTTGAAAGGAAATCCGAGATTATAAAGCCGCGTGACAAAGGCAAGTCGTTTAAAGATTAGAAAAAAATACAGGCAACAAATGCTAAAAATATGATAAGCAAGATCAACAAGGAAAGGCGGTGTTCAAAGAACGCAACTGTTATCATGCAGAATTCAAGTTGAAACATTTCTCGTAGTGTAAAACACCATATAATTATCAAGGTGTCACTAGGTTCACAATTCTTGCACATAATCTCGTCTAGTAACCTGCATTTTGACATTGGAAAGTGTAATTACGTATCATTTTGTCAAAATAATGTAAATAGTTGATAAGTAATATATAGCTATTGATATATGATATACAGTAAAGACTGTTTACAGGGACCTTCGATGGGAGAAAAGAAAAAAGGTCATTATAGACAGGGAGTCACTGTGGACAGTCTCTACATTATTCGGATATATGAACATATCATACCAATATTTTGTTGAAATGCAGGATAGTACCATACTAAGGGTTTAATTAAATATTTTTATTGATATTAAACATATCAAATATCATTTATAAAAAACAAGAGAGTATTAAAATTGCATGTATAATTGGTTAAGATTATAAACTACACCATAGCATTAGTATTTAAAAGTTACATATTCATTAAAATGTAATTTATATTGATAAATCTGTTTGTAAAAAAATGTTTAATTTCAATTTTACTAATGAGATGTTACTGTAGAGACATTTAATTTTGTATAATCAGCCTGTTTACTTTACGGAGTTCAATGTATTAATAAAACATTAGATACAAATCTTCACATAATTTCTACAGATAAGTGCTCCGAAAAAAATTAACAATCGAGGTTTCAAACATAACCACACCTTTAAGACGTTTGGCATTGTTTATCTTTACTCGCCAAAACACCGCAGCAATTATGATTATGCAGGTGTCTTAAATCATTCTTTCGGCGAAAATTGATTGAATCTGTCGCCATTTTGTGTAATTGTCAACAAACAGCCATAGTGTATTAGCGTGTCGCCGATTGGTCAATTAAAACTGCCGTAGATACAACGCGCGTTCTGATTCGCCAATCGCATGAATACGTAATGAGAAAGATCTCTGAACTTTGTTGATGTTGACACGCGTTCTTAATTAGCGGATTAACGGTAATTGGTTGTAATTGAGAGGTAAACAAAT